GAAAAAAAGTTACTGTAATAGCACACTAAAAGCTATCAAAGCATGCTATAGTGCCTCGAACATTGGAATTTCTGTGTGGAGCATGTCATGGCAAGTTTATTCACAGTTTTAGGGTTTTCAACCCCTCCAAGCACTCCTACACCCCTTAGAAAACCTTAAGTTATTAAAGGAAGGCTTGGGATCTCATCAAAATCATCTAAATTCATTAAACTCTCATTAAAAACTCATATAAGATTCAAACCTACGCTTTTTGAAAGCACTTAACAATCATCTTATGATTAAGATTTTACCTCTGACAAGTGTCACGATCTAAACTCGGGCCCATGACTGGCACTAAGGTCTCCAACCCCAGTCAGCCTCATAACAACACAACATGCTCAGAACCAGTCAATTCACATAATATCTCATACTACTCAAGTACAAAACCAAAATATTGTCTGAGTAATAAAGGAGCACTATAGTACAAACAAGAAATAATGTGCCCGTACAACAATGACTTGCAGATACTCTACTCTGACACAATTATTGGGAATACGACAACCAAGTTGATATGGAAAGATAATAAAATTTGAATCGTAAAACTCAGTGAGTACAAACAATACATAATCTATGCATGTTAGGGTATATATCAAATCACAAGTTCAAAACTATACATATACATATATAATGAGTAGTTTTAGTATCAAAACATACATATGTGGGAGTACAACAATCACATCATGAGACTCCAGCCTCATGGCTCTCTCGATCGGAGGAATCTTCTATCTCACGATCAAGCTCAATAATTCACATATCATACTCTCGGCCAAAGGCGTCCTCCATCTTATGACCAGAGTATCACGGTCTCATCACATCAAATATCATCACCCGATCGGGTTCACATCATGCCTTCCAGGGCAATACGCTCACCAGAGCAATACATCATGCCCATTAGGCACAACCCCTCATGAGAGCAACACAGTCTCAGCACATAGCACGACTCCCCACATAAAAGTCAAAAAAAGATATATACAGTCCACAACTCAAAACCGATATCACATATCAACAAAACTCACTAATAGTCTATAAACCAAATAACACATATCCCATATGTAAACATATACCAAAATATAGTTTACAAAACATATAATTAGTCATACCATAAACTACAGTAGAAAATGCAAGCATAAAAAGGGTATCATCACTCACAGTACTGAAGTTGAGCCAAAAAGAAAGTCCCGAGTTACCCACACCTAACTTAACAATCTAGTGCACCTCTACCAGTATACCTACAACCAAAACTACACAAAATCACCACCGACACCAAAATTGGCAAAAGAAAAGGGCTTGATAGCCCCAAATCGGGCTCAAATCTCATCCTAGAACCCTAACACTTAGCTCGAGGCTCACTATCGTACACCCCAAATCCACACGACTCAAGTACACACATCGAAATCCCTTAAGAATCATTAAACCGCACTAAACTGCCCTAAAACTACCTTAGACTAAACTGAACAGGCCACGAAAATCTCAAAATCAGATTGAATTAGCCTCAAAACCCTAAGAACCGGTCTAAACCGGCCAAGAACCACCCAAAACAAGCCTGAACCAACCACATAACCTTTGAATTGCCCTAATTTAGCCAAAAACACCCAATTTCTGGCCGAATCGGACCTCCCAAACCCCTGGACCAACTTGGTCCAACAAATCTCATCCTCCTACACCTGGAACCAGTCCAACTTTAAAAATTTGAGTTGGTTTTGCCACTAAACTGGCTGGTTAAACATTGAACCATCTCTAATTGGTTTAATCAACAGAAACCCTAATTTCCCCTTGGACAACCTATCCCAGCCTTGGTTATTTAATTCTCAATTAATCCTTATCCCTACTCTGTCTTATCTCCTAGGATAACATATTCCAATTTCAATTGATTGGGTTGACTCAGTAGTTAACCCATTGTTTCAGTCAACTAGGCCAAGTCAACTCACTAAATTGACTCACCTAGACCCAGCCCAACTCGTGGCCCAAGCCCAACTCACCACTTGGCATAGCCCAGCCCAACCTACTTGGGCTAGCCAGGCCCGGCTCGGCCTAGCTTGGCCCAGCCTGGCCCAACCCAAGCCCAGCCCACTTAACCAACTCGGCTTAGGCCCAACCCACCAGGCCCGAACCTCACTCAGGCTGGTTGAGTCGACTCGGTGAACCGAGTCGACCTAGCCTGGTCATCCTAACTCAAACCTGGATGCATCCAGGTCTGTTTCCTACACCCAACCACATACCTGGTACCTTAATCGGGTCTGTAACAGAACCCGATTTCCCAAAATTCACAAAAACTCTAGATTTCTTATGTACCTGAACTGATTGGTATTTAACAACCATAGATCTAGACAAAACGAGCTGAACCACAAGATTTAATCAGATTAAATTGATCCAAAATGCATAAAAATCCAAGAACTCGTCCTTTGGCCACACAAGGACTAGTCGCCCACTCTCACTCAAATCTCTTTCAAATTCTGGCTCTATTCTTGAAATTGATTGAGGAAAAAAGTGTGTCTTGGCCAAGCAAACATAAATACACAAGAAACTCGAGCCACAACCACTCCAAATCATCACAATGAGGGTTGAACAGTATGGTGCTTTGTAACTCTAAAATGTTAGGTCTTGTCAAAATTTGATCCTCCGAATTTTATTTCCTTTCAATCAAGTCCTTCCGCATTTCTGACTTGGCCCCCGTTTCGTTTATTTTGTTCAATTGCATCCCTGCCCTTTTAATTTTTTGATCCTCAACTCCTTGATTTACTAATTGGCACCTAGAACTTCTATTTCTTTTAATTAACTACCTTCCTAATTACACATTGAACCCTACGTCTTTTAATTGTTACAATTAGGCCCCCAAATTAATTAAATTAAAAATTGAGGTAGTAACAATAAGGATCTTGCCATTCTAAGGTAAAGAATTGGAGATTCCAATGGTCTGAGATTAGTTGGCATGAGGAGATTCAGGTTTATTGTTAAATTCTTGTTAAGGTTAGATTGACGGTTTTTCTAAAACCAATTGTAAAGTATGTTTTACTTTTATTCATTAATATAATTCAGTTTTTTCTCAATACTTAATTGTTTGAGTTTAGATTCTTTGGTTATTGTCTTATTATTCGTTTTGAGCATTGCTTGTATTCCAAGAATTATTGATCATTTAGGACTAATTAATTTAGGTAATTTATCAACCAAATTCTTCTCGGAAAATCTCAATTTTCTATGTCACTCTTTGGGAAAAAAATTAACCCTTGACTTATTTATAATGAGAATTATCAAAATATAAATTTTATATTTTAAATCAATTAATCTCACCTAATTAGATATTTTTGTCAATAGATATTTATTTTAACTAATAAGATTTCTATTTTAATAAGGGGAAAATTATTTGATTTTAGAAATAATTAAAAAATAAAAAAAATATAAATATATTAATTATTCCACCCTATGTCCACGTAGCACGTGACACAAATTAACACTAATACTGTCAGAATGATGGTTTAAACTCAAATCCTTCACCCTTGTTGCTGTATTAATTAATTCTTGAAGGACCAAAATAATAGATATGTCATAATTTCTAAATGTCGGAGTTTTTTTTGCCATCTGAGTCCTTAATTTACAAATTTTACAAATTTGGTCTCCAAGCTTGCAAAAGATTAACTCAACGCACTACAAGAAAATAGTCTTTTAACGACGAAATATTTCTGTAGCTAAACTAATAAAATCTGTCGCTAAATACATTTAGCGACAGATTTAGCAGCAGAAAAAAATCCGTCAATAAAACGGCCACCGCTAATTTAGTAATGGAAATCAGCGACGGAAAATTAGTGACGGAAATTCCGTCGCTAAATTACCAAGGAAAATTCCGTCGCTAAATTCCGTCATTAAATTACCAACAAAAATTCTGTTATTAAATTCCGTCGCTAAATTAACAACAAAAATTATGTCACTAAATTCTGTCACTAAATTACTGACAGAATCTTATTATTAAATTCTATCACTAATTTTTTCTTTTTATTAAAAATCTACAATTAAATTTTTGTTCGTAATTTTGTTGCTAAATTCTTTCACTGATTTTTCTTTTAGTTGAAAAATTTTAAATTAAATTTTTGCTAGTAATATTTTTCCATTACAAATGCTTATTTCTAATAAAAACTTGTATTTCATTTTCATAATGCTTAATGCAATGAAAATAATGCAAATTGCTCATAATTCATTAAAAAATACAATACAATCGTACATTAATAAAAAAATACAATATAATCATGAAAATATATATAATGTCTAACAAATTTTCGAAGTCCTACTCGAACATATATGTTTACAAATTTAATCATACAACTACACATGTTTAAAGTAGCAGGCCACCATGTCGTTTTCTTTATATGATTTTTTCAAGTGGTTTGATTGCTCCCAAGACAGTGAAGCCCTGTATAAAACCATTATTTAGCAAAAAAGAGAAAAAGGAAACACCAATTAATAGGAAGATAATCATGATAAAGCCACTCCTGTAAGACAAATGTGTTCTGCCCCAAAAATTGCAAGATCTAATATCTTTTATGCCCATCAAAATTGGAGGAAAATAATAAGAAAATACTACAAACTCAACGGAAACAAGCCACCCAAGAAGGCTAGCACTAGAAAAGATCATGAATTAATAATTCAAACTAGCCGAATAAGACTCCCACCGAATTAGAAAATCCATGACTAATCATGGAGAAGCTAGTCCTGCCAACCTATCCTCCACACGGTTATTGGAAATTAGAGTTTCTTTAATTAAAGCTATAATAATAATGTTAGCTAGCAATGATGAGACACGTGGACTATTTTATCATAATCACAAGCATAATTATGGCTTGTTCAATTCTGACTTTAACTTTTTCAAGCCCACTTTTCTCTATTTATTACCTATCTATTAACTCTTTTTCATATGGACAATTAATATCCTATCTACTTTTAATTATCATAATAATTACTAGATTTTTGACTCAATTCCCTTTACTAACAAAAAAATAATACTAAAAAATTCACTGAAAATTTTTATTACATTTTCAATTATTTGTTTTCTAGAACTCTTTTGAAAAAAATTTCCATGAATTAATGAAAATTTTAATTTTTAAAATAAAAAACAAACAACTTTTATTTTAAAACATTTAATTGTGGAAAAGCTTAAATCTAATTGCCAATGACTTTCAAAAGTAATTAATGAAAGCCCAACTTTTGTCTCGGATGGAGGACCCAAAACATGGAAAGTTTGTATGACTTTTCTAAAACTGAAGACTATATGAAATCCTAAAACTAGATTTTTATAAAAATAAAAAAAAAACCTGAAAATCTTCAAATTTTTTTGAACTGAAAATTAAATGAGAATTAAAAGAACCATATGAAACCCAAGCATCCATGCCGGCGACCACATTCCACTAGCCAAAAATTCCCATAAATAAAAAGCAACTAGCAAAAAAGTAAACTCACCAACGGTGGCGGACTGGAATGTGGTCCAGCCGTCGACGGCACTCCGGTTGCGCTTCACCAAGGTTTTCCCAATGCCGTCTCCGACAAACATGAGCATGGTCTTCTTTCTCCCCACCTCCACATTTTCGTAATACGCTTCGCTCTTTATGTATATCACGAACCTCGTCTCGCTCGAGTTGGGGGCCGCTGCCACCGCCTCTCCGATCGTCGTGAAATTCCCACTCTTGTACTTCGCCACAAGCAGGTCCCACTTCGTATTGCTCGCCAACGACTCCATCAGCCTTCGGTCCCTCCTCGACATCCACGCCGGAAACCCACCCCTCACGACGCAGTACTCTGGCAACGCCCGTTCAAACAGCGGGTTAATGGCGGTGGTCAGAAGACACTTTTTATAACTCACTGGCAAACGAGCAACAGGTCAATGACAATGTACATATCTACACAATGTACATAATAATTAATAATTAATAATCTTGAATTAAAGGGCTCCACAATGTACATGACAAAGAAGAATAGAGAAATCGACATTGGGGAACTAGAATTCTCTGATTTGGCTGCTGTGATTTTGGCAGGAAGAGTCAAGGATTTTGCAGGTTGGAGGGAAACATAAATTTGGGTGAAAATAAGACAGTGGGTAGGCTAGCATTGCGGAATAGGGTTGAACGCCAGGGGGGTGTGGGGGGGGGGGGGGGGTGTTGGAGGGGAAATTTGAATTTTAGGAAAGTTTGAGCGAAAAGGGAGGTAAATATGAAGCTGATCCCAACGCGTGCGTGCTCCCGTAGTACAAAGTAGTTAAATTAATCATTAATATTATTTTTTAATATTAATATTTTTTATATAATAATAGGAATGTCACATTTTTTAAAATTCAGAATTTTTAAAAAAATAAAAAAAATTAAAATATAGATTCAATAATAACTAAATATTTAAAATTAGAAAAAAATAAAAGGTTCATATAATATTTTTTTATAAAATAAAAGATGAAAAGAATCATATAATTTTTTTATAAAAACCCCTAAAATGGAATTTCTTATAGTATAATGTCCATATAGTGAGGAATCACACACACACACACATGATAAACATATCTACACACATATATGTATGTATGTAGTAAGGATGTAAATGGGATGAGATTGGGTGAAATATTAAAATACTCATATCTATATTCAAATAAAAATTTAATACCTATATCCATACCCATATCCAAATGGGTAAAAATATTTACCCATATCATATCTATATTTGTTTAAATACAATTTATCCATACCTAAATTCATATCTATTTTAGTACCAATTATCCATATCCATATTCATTTAGTAAATAATTTAGTATGTAACATTATCATAGGAGTTAAAGATATTCCAAAAAAATTACAATTTTTTTTCAAAATTTTAAAAGTTAAGAAAAGAAATTTTTTTTAACAAAAATGGATAATTTTAATTCATTAATTGTAATGAGAAAAGTTAAGAAAAGTTAATGTTGTTTAGGGAAAATAACTTTTAAAAGTACATTTAAAAATTTAAAAATCATCAAATATTTACCTTTAAAGTATTAAGAAGTACTGTACAAAAGAAATTATCTATTTTATTAGATATAAAACTATGATCCCTATTTCTAACAATTTAGCATTTGATGAAAATTAGTGGGATTTGAATTTCAAAATTTTATTTTTAACGTTTAAATTAAAAAATAAAAAAATAGATTTGGATTTCATGAAATTTGATGAGATTTTAAGCATTTTTAAATTGATTTGAATTTATTCATTATAATTTTAGTAATATATTTTATTATAATTTTAATTTTTATTAGTTTTAAATTATAGTTTTTATTAATAATGGTATTTTTTCTTTTGTTTAATATTTATTTTAGATATCAAAATTGAATAATAATTTGATCACTATGCTCAATTAGTGTGGTAAACACATATAAGTTATATTTGTTACTAGTTCAAAACTATTTTTTTGTTTGTCAAATAATTAATAGAATAATTATTAAATTTGAATTTGTATAACCATTAAAGTTTAGTTTCACCATTCTAATTTAATTTTATAACATGTTATTTTTTCAATTTAATGATTACATATTTTTTATATAAATAGTTAAATTCTTTCTTCTTTGTAAAATATATTTTTATAATCTTTCAAAAATCTTTGAATTTTTAATATTATATATCTTATGAGTTATGATTTTCATATGAAAAAAATATCTTAGAATGTTATACATAAATATGTGTATATATATTTATATATACATGTATATATATAAAAAATATATGTATGAAATTCAGGTATATAATACAGATAATTGGATATAGTATATGATATATGAATACGGATATATGGGTATGGGTATCCGAGTATTATTATATGAAAACCATATCCGAACCCAAACTCGAAAAATAAAATAACCTATAACCGAACATGACCCAGAAATCAAATTGTGATGGCCAAATCTGAATCCGAGTCAGGTAAATGGTTTAGGTACCCACAAAACCTGAATCCATTTATATCCTTATATGTATGTATATGTATGTATCTGCATATGTGTGTGTACATACACATATATATATAATACAAACATATATATGTATTTATATATACATGTGTGTATATATATGTGTATCATGTATATACATGTATGATACTTATATGTATGCGTGCATTTTTGTGCATGTTTGCATCTAGTGTGTATATACATAATTAAGTCTTACTCGTTTAATAAAGAAAAGAGACTATATTAAAGCACGTCTTAATTCGAACCTTCTATCTCCCTAGTGTTCGACGAATTATTAATAAAAACAGTCGCGTCATTAAATTAGTAATAGAAAATACGTTCCATTGTTAAATTAAGCGACGAATTACCAACGGGATATATGGTTATGTTACTAAATCAGCAACTAATTTAGCGACGGATTGGTGTTCTAATCGCTAAATTATGATGGATTGGTGGTCCGTCATTAAATTAGCGACAAATTTACTGATGGATTGGTATTTCGTCGCTGATTTAGCGACGAATTTAGCGATCGATTGCAGTTCGTTGCTGATTTAGCAACGAATTGCTGTCCGTTGCTGATTAGCGATGGATTTACTGACGGATTGGCAATCTGTCGCTAATTCGTCACTAATCCATTGGTAAATACTGACGGACTATTCCGCTGCTGATTTTCCCGTCGCTAAAACCTTGTTTTCTTGTAGTTATAGTCCTTCCTCTAGATCTCCATGGTCTCAAGGACGAATGACAAAGGAAATGGATTTTCTTTTTAATAAAATTTTCTCCAAGTCATTCGTTCAACATAATGTTTTTTGGGAAAGCTTTTGAAAAATACCTCATTTGAATGATTTAACTTTTCATTTTCAAGGAAACGTGGGGCTGAAGGGTGAGAGACAAATGGGTTTCCAAATTGAAACAATAAAAGAAAAAAAAATTAAATAATTTCTAATTTGATTTAAACAAAAAATTTTACAGACGTCCAAAAAAAAAAGTTTGGAAATGAATTAATAACTTGCAGCAAATATTTTTCCAAAAAAAAAATTACTTTAACATGCCAAGCTCTAAACTTCGAAATTGTATGATGGGCCCATGTCCATATTACCCACTGTTTTTAATTCAGAAAACGAAAAATATGCAGTAGGTGGGACGGGCAGACCTTCATCCAAATTTGTCTTGTAACATTTTGGGATTTGATGATGTTGTCATTCTTAAACCATGATCTTTTTAGTATTTCAGACAATATTTGTTACACATGAATGCTATTTGTATTATTAACTTCTTGTGCAATTAAGAAAAATATTTGAGCACGTTTTGCCCTCATAATTCTATTATTAAGACAAATGATTCTTTTAAAGGCCTCAAGCACAACAACGATAACAACCATCCACCAACCCTTTGATACTGGAGGATCTTCGTGTAAATGGGTGAGTGGTGTTGAGGGGTGTGCCTTGAAAAGTCAGATAAGAAGAGAGAGAAGGAAAAAAAAATAAAAATAAAAAAAAGGTTGGCACGCAGTAGTGACAGCAGTTGCAGAATTTTAGAATTTTTTCTCGGCCTTCCAAGTACTCTCCCTGTAGCCCTATTCTCGGGCCATGAATTAGCCCGGACCGGGACGGACCACCAGTTCCGATCCTGGAAAATGATGAACCAAGACCGGAACCTTAAAGGTCGGTCCGGTTCCGATTCTGGTTAATGCCGGTTCAGGGCCAGTTCACGGTTCCAATTCACCATCATTCCGGTTCCGGGCCAGACTGGTTCACGGTTCTAATTTGTTCACGTCCGGTTCATTCACGGTTCGTTCCTGATTCGTTAAAGGTTTGTTCACAATTCATTTTCGGTTCGTCCACGATTCATTTCCGATTCGTTAACGGTTCATTCACAGTTCGTTCCCGATTTGTCCACGGTTCAGTTTGATTATAGTTTACTTTTATCGATAAAAATTTATATACTAACTTATAAACAATTTTGGGTTATTAAATATATTATAAATATTTAATCTTATAAATATTTTTTTACTAAATATAAAAATAATAATAATAAAAATGTGATCAATTCAACTCTTGAGCCCCTTTTTTTTCCTAAATTAAGTCTTTGACTAAACTAAAATTTTAATATATCGAAAAAATAAAAGAAAATAATCTTATTACTTTCAAGTTTGAAGTTTGATTTCTAGTTATTAAAAAATAAATATTTAAAAAATGTGAAAGCAATTTGGATTTTTAAAAATTATCATTCATAATTATGTGAAAGCAATTTGGATATCATGTCAGTGACATGTTCCATCACTTCACTTACCTATGAATCATAATCTATGATCACCTGATTCTCTTAAAATTATTTATTAATATTTTTTCTCAAATAAATATACACATATTTTGTCTATTTGAACCATTTTTATAAATTAAAAATATTTCAAATTTATCACAACCAAAATAAAAAAATACAATTGCAAATATGAGATCCAACATAAATCATAACAATATTGATGACAATACAAATTAAATGAGAAATTATTTTATTTATAATTATGTACATAAATTGAAAAAAAAAAGATAATTATGTAGATAAGTTAAAAAAAAAAAAAAGATTTGAACTTAATTGTGTATCAATTAAACTGTCTACGTATTCTTTTGGGGTTTAGAGGAATTAAAAACCACGTAGTTGTCTTGCCTTAATTAGTGTACCCCCTTACCTTTTATCTTAATCTTCACTATCTCCGGTTCTAACTGTTCCTTCATCATCATCTTGATTTGCCTCTATGATAAATTCTTGTTATCCATACATGGTCTTTGTCCAATCATCAACACATGACTGAGTTTCAACATTTGTTGGAAGCATGCTCCAACGAGTTTCATCTAATATCTGACCTCTCGCACTAAAAACCTGTTCAACCGGAACTGTTGGAAATTGACTTGATTTTTACTTCCACCATCGAAAAATT